CAGGGGTTCCACATAGGTTTTTACTTATGTGATTTTATGTCGGTTTATGTTGAATTCGTGATCTAGAAATGAAATTGTGGAACCTTCTTTCATTTATCCGATTAATGATGCTGTTAGTAGTGCCTTTGATCATAGTTGGAGTGTTGAATAGTTTGTTTATGCTATGGAGATAAAATTTGTAATAGTTCTTTGAGATTACATGAAAGAGCATGATTTTCCAGCCTCTGTTGCATTGTTGTTTTGACCCTGGAGTACTCGTGTTATGAAAATCTTGTCTTCATATGATATGTAGTATTTTTTGTTGTCTTTCTCTGAGCTTTAGATTTATGTGATTCCGATTTAAAACGCGGAAACCTGTGTTTTTGGTAGACAGTCGCTCGGGCTCCCCATGGTTTAGTAAAAGGGAGGGGAGATTTCTCATTATTTGTCGGGGTTTCATTCATTATGAACCAAGTGAAAGTGCAGTGATGTATACAGCCGAGGCATCCTAACAGACCTAACTGAATGAGTTAGCATGGAGTATTATACAGAGACCCGCCGAATAAGAATTCTGTAATAATATGATTGGACCACTCGAAAGAGGACGGATTTTCCCATATGTATATAACCTGCCAAAACCACTGAGACATCTGCCCCTTTCACTCGACATTCAAGTGGTGATCTGGCATCATGAGCAGAAGTCGATTGGTTGATGTGTATGTATACATAGACATGTCCTCCTACCTTTTTTTCTTTGCCTATGGGGAATTCGTACTATGTACTTTTCCTTGAAGGAGTTCTTAGTCCCCTTCGCCTTTACTAAATATAGGATCTTCCTATGGTCGTTCATCGAGGAAAAGCAGGTTTTCACAATCTTATATGACTGAACGAATAAGTTATGAGTTTTGCAAAATTGTCGTGCAAACAGTTTTTATTAAAACCCGACAACTTGTGTTTATTTTATGTTTGACCAGTTTTTTTTTTTATTTAAAACATCCCAGTGTGGGATGGAGGGTTGAGGCTACACCCCTGACCTGTGAATATAATGGCCCAGAGAGGGCTAAAAAGTCAATGATTTACAACAATGTCAAGGATACATATGGCAACATCAAAAGCAGAAAAACAAAAACAAAAAAAATACAAGGAGCACAAAATCTCCGATGCGGATCTAAAATCAAATCCTCATAAAGGTCGTCCTGGTCAGAATGACCTGGCATGAGGTCCAAAACGACAAGTATAGTCAGGGTCAGGTGGTGGCGGTCGTCCGAATCTAAAGGATGGGTATTCTAGCCGGTCCATCCGAATGAGTGTTCGAAGCCGGAGGAGAATGTCCTCGGGATGAAGGGTGCGTCTCTAGGGTATAGAAGCCCCCGTGCTAGCAAGCAAGTCAGCGGGTCGATTCCCCTCTTGGAATATGTGTGAGACCTGGTAATGAATCGAGCGGAGGGTGTCTCTGATGCGCATAAGTGGATACTGGATCTGCCATGAGCCCTGGTGGCCAGATGTCAAAAGTGTGATGACAGCTGCAACATCCATCTCTATCCAGATATGGGAGGAGATCGAGGCGGCCATCTCAAGACCAATCTAGAGCGCCTGAATCTCTGAATCATAACTCGAGGAGGCCTGGAGTGGCCCATGGAAGGCAGAGATGAGTGCCCCACCATGATCCCTAATCAGGCCCCCTCCTCAATCAGCTCCGGTATGTCTGTCGAATGCGCCATCAGTGTTTAGCTTAACCTAAGAGGCCTTGGGTTTCAGACAAACAAGGGTCCTGGGTCTAGGGTGCTGGACAGGTAAAGGAGGTGGTGGCCTTAAACGATGGGGCGGTGTGCAACCTGTCCAGTCTCTCGTCGTGAGTCTACCCAGGGCGGTGAAGAGAGAGAGAGGTGTCTGTCAACCTGCAAAATGATGTGAGCACAAGAAAATATAAATCCCTATGCTTCGCATTATTCCTTTCTGTCCAGGGGGCCCATAAGATCAGACAAGGAATAAGGAAGCCCACGTGTCTACTGTGTGTGCGGTGTGGGAAAAAACTCAGAAGCTCAAAAAAACTGTCTGTAGTGGGTAGGCGTATATGAGTATATCTTGCATAGTGCTCCCACACTCACCTCACAATCTCACTCTTAAGGAAAAGATGGGTGAAAGTCTCGATCTCAAAGGTACCGATCTCAGAACAACAATGGCAACGGGAGGGGAAGGAGAAGCCTCTCGCCTGCATCACAGTGTCAATGGGAATGCGCCGTAATAGGAGACGCCATAAAAAGACTGAAATGGTCGGGGTGAGAAGGTTCGTCCAGATGGCCCCGAAGAGGCGGTTAGGCCGGTTGCCCAGCCGCACATCTCCCCAGGCCGATGACATAGAGAATGCACCTGAAGATATAAGTCTCCACCTCATGTCGTCCAAACCTCCCTCCAGGATGGGAATCTGTCGGATCTGGTCAATCTCTAGACTACTGAAACCCCGCCCTAACCTAGAATATCCTCCATCTTATCTCTATCCCAAGAACCCCCCGTCCAAAGGTCCTTCACCTGCATGAAAGGCAGGTGAGTGACCGGCCTAGTGCTCGATAGGGGGCCCTCGCCGAACCACCACTCATCCTAGAAGCTGACCTCCCCAGAACCCAAGGTCCAAAAAATGTGCTTCTGAGCACGCCTGCCAGCAATGGTGAGACGTCTCCACTGTCAACTATCCCGAGCAGTAGCTGACACCCTGCTAGGATGTGCAGCTCCACCAGGGCAATATTTCCTCAGGAGGTATTGAGCCCAAAGGGACTTGCCCTCGCTAAAGCGCCACCACATCCTATAGGAAAAAGCAGTGACAACATCAGAGAACCGCCGAATCCCGAGCCCACCCTTCGTCCCACTTCACCCAGTGAGTCTGCCGCCGTCCCCGCG